GCCCGATAGCAGATTATATTTTAATATCTACAGTACTATCTGTAGTAAGTGTTGCTTGAACGAACCCTAGACCTGGATGGGTCAACACGCATAGATTTTATAAATATTTACAGAATATATAAACAAAGAGTTTTTTAAAATGCAAATTTAACTAGTACCTGATCCGATTCAAAGGGGATTTAATTATGGGCGCATTGGTACATTGCTCGGATCCCGTATAGGACTCTGGATATAAAATCCAGAGAATTAGCGAAAATTGAATTTTGGATCAATCCAGCTTGGCCAATAATGCGAGTTATTCACATAATTTTTATCATTGATAGCGCTGAATTAGCCAATCTCATTTTAGCGCAATCAGAGCAATTTTGAAAGATGGTCTATGCAAGGTTTTTGATTTGAGACTGACCAAAAGGATAGCACTAGGGTTGGCAATTCACAATGAATGTAGCGATTCCTGCAGCAAGTCTGGGATCCTAGGTTTGTCCTTTCCCAAGTTCAAAGAATAAATCTGGAAGGGGGTCCTGACCCCCTTCCAAACTCCAATCTAAAGAGTTTGGAATCATAGAAAAAAAGCCACCAGTTTACGATTCTAAAGGCCTCGAATGGCTGTGAGAATCGTCCAATAACGTTGATATTCACATTTATAATCATTTGCATTCCAATTCACTCGTTAATATTCACGTTTCATATCACCAGGTGCGATCTTGAAGTACCTCGTGTACGTGGTTCACACGAAATCCATTTCAATTGTCACTGTTAAAATCCATAAATCATCGTTAATAACGACTAGTGTAATAACCCATAAAAACGATATTTGGCGTGAATATTGACTGCTAACACTAACTAGCACACTGAATTAATTACTTAATTCAACCCTTTCGCGATAAAAGGAAGCAGAATGCCCCCTTTTCCTGGTTTTCAACTAAGTACGACGATGTATCCATGTTAAAGGAGGCAAAATGTCTCCTTTTATAATTAAGTACGTTTACAAGAGATCGTTATGGGCATAGAAGAACCAAGCAAATCACACTTGAAAGATTTGAAGGTGGTCCATCACTCACCTTAAAGGAGGCAAAATGCCTCCTTTTGATACCGACTATCCTAGATTTGTATACTATAGTTTACTAAAGTGGCTCGCGAAAGGGTTAAGTGAGGTAAGCAGACACGAAGATGTGACACGTTCAAATTAACTTTTCATGAGCAAAACGAAACAGAGATTTATTGTGTGAATCAAATCAATTGAATAATTTATTAAAGGCCAGCCTTCTCCTATGCTCTCAAGATATTTATCGAACCTCATGCCTTAATAACTCTATCAACGGTAACTTCTCGCTACTTTGGTGCTGAAATGTGACGTGTACAACAAAGATTGGGGGCTGGAACTCCCTGCAAATGCCTACTTGTATTGTCAGAAGCAAATTGCAAAGTAACTTAGACTGCTTACTTTGCTGACACTCTCTCCTGGCTTTATGGCAGTGTAGGGAGAATACCTGTTGAACCTCAAGTTGATGTTGCACGAACACGTGCTTGCTGTTTGGCGTGCCGCAACCATATTGCGGGTTGGAGGAGCTGACGTAGCGATGCAAGCCTTGCCATCGCCACACTGCTTTCTAGTCCCGTCTGCTGAGTCCCAGTTGGGTAGAGACAGGTCTCAAACTTCAACACGTTGCAGTGTTACCTTTTGTACTTTCCAGGATTTGCAATGACTTGTCGAATCTTGAATTCAGCCAATCAAATACCACGAAATGAAAATCCAACCAATGAGCGACCAGTAAAACTTGAACAGCGTCGTGTATTGCCATTAAGGATCCAATCGCTCTAATACTTGATATGTACATGCGTTGGTGTCTTCTCTCGTATATACCCCAGTCGTATTGCATGAGCCAAGGCTAGTGGACGTAGAGAGTACAGTCCTCCTGAAAGAGATCATCACCTTGTGCTGGATGTTGCTGTAACTTAGCCGTCGCTGCGTTTTGAACGTTTATGTTGCTTGGAATCAATAGCCGTGGTTGTTGCGAGTAGTAATCCATCGTCGTTGGCGTTTTTTGCGTATGCTAGCAGCAGTTGAGATACATCTTCGCTAATTGTCGTCAGGGGTTCCCAGGAGTCCTCGATGGGTTCAAAACCCAACCACTTCACTTTCACCTCATAGGCGTCCATGTCCCCGTTGAACCTATGCTCCACGATTGCTTCAACCGCCAGCAGAGTCCCTTGTGAAGCGATGTGGTCAAGTAGTTCCTCGGAAATATCGAGCGCGTCGTCCACGTAGAACTTGAGGCGTGATGGGTGCACATCCATGCTGCTGCCGTTGACTAAATGCTCTACCGTAAAATAGTAGTCGGTGCTTGCCACAATACGATATGGACCAACCCACATGATGCCCAACTTGTTCGCGTGTAGTTTCTTATCGACACGTGATCGCAACACGTAATCACCGACTGAGAAGTTCACGTCTTGCTTGAAGTGATACCTTGCTCTGTACCTCTTATCCTGTTTCTTACGCTCAGTTTCCACAGCCTTGTGCATAACCACGATGACTTCACGTAGAGCAGTAAGTTGTTTCTCTGTATTTGGCCTTGGGCTGCTTAGTGTAGCGACACGTCCCTTCCCCCCAGGAAAAAAAACACCGTGTTCAAGATGTTTGGGCATGGTAAACCAGTGAACAGTTCGATAGGTGCACGGTTGGCTAGTGAAGCGACTGGCGAGTGGTTGATACTGGACATCACCAGCGGCAACACGGCCAGTCGTGTAGACTCACGCGAAATTTTAATGCCAAAGCTTTCAAAACTTGCAAAATGTCCCGATTTACACGTTCAACTGATCCATTTTTCCACGGAGAGTATGCCAAAATAAATTCTTGACGTCCTTTCAGTCGCCTGCTGAGTTCGGCGATCACGTTTGCCTTAAAATGTGATCCCGAGTCGCTCACCCAGAGCTCAGGTGCACCAAAACGACTGTACCAGTCGAGGATCGCGGTAGCTGCAACGGTAGACGTAGGGTCGTCACAGGCCACGAGGTCGACAAAGTGTGTGGCTTCATCTTTCAGAACCAACACGTAGCGGGAAGCGCCAAAGGAATCCCAGCGTTAGAATATCCCAGTGCAGGGTCGCGTTTCTTTCAAATGTGTGGTGGGTTTCGCTAAAAGGTCGTGGAATAACCGTTCCTCCTTTCACGTGCAAGCAAAGAAGGCAGTTCGCGCAGAAATCCCTCGCCATTTCATTGAGACCAGCAATCTTGAACAAACGGCCGACATGATTCTCCATCACATGTACTTCACGATGTCCATTCCGTCCACAATGAGCAATAACCAATAGCCGTTGAGTCGGATCGCTGGCTTCGCGAGGAATCCAAATCTTATCTTGTAGTCGCCAAAGGTCGTTGTCATCGAGCTTTGCATATTTCGTGCAGAGCTTGCATGCTGCCAATTTCGTCTATCGTCGGCCAAACGAAGCCATCTGCATCGAGTGGGCGTGGCGACTGCACCGTGCGTTGCTGTCGCTCGCGGCGGCGTTTTGAACGCGTAACCCGTTTGATAGAGTGAATCCGTGCTGCAGGCAGTGGCTTGCCACCCCACCGTGAAATTAAATCCGCCCACACGTTGTGGACACCTTCGATGTGCTCAATAGAGTACCTATACTCCAGGAGTTTCGTCGACCAACGTAGCAATTTCCCGCGTACGTGTCGCTTTAACTCTTTATTCGGGCAGAATAGGTAGATGATGTTGCGGTGGTCGCAGTAGAGCCTAAAGCCCTGTGGTCGCAATAGCAGATACTCCAGTTTCTCACAGGCGTGTACAATAGGATAGGACTCCTTCTCGATCACAGACCAGTTGAGCGCTGATCCCGTGAAACTTCCACCCATACACACCAAGAGCTCGTGATTTTGTTCGTGGATAGGTACATCGGGCTTCCAGTCGGTCACTTGCGAGACTACTAGACCCCAGCTTCGATCTGATGCGTCGGAGAGCAGGGCGAGCTGTTTGGGTGGATCCGGGTACGTGATCATTGCGGAATTATCAAGCAAATCTTTGACAGCTTCAAACGCTGCTTGTTCGTCTGGATTCAGGTCAATCTGCACTCCAGCTGCTGCTCACTTTGTTGTCTTAGTCCCTGATAATGCCTCGTCGAGACGCTCTTGAAGTGGTCTAGATACTCTAGCGTAGTCAACAAGACCAGCTCTCATCCAGTTACTAGCGCATAAAAACTGCTGAAGTTCTTCTGCTGTAGTCGGCAATGGCATTTCACGAAGAGCCTGAACGCGTTCAGGGTCGTAGCCGATTCCGTGTTGGTTGTTAATTCTACCACACCAACTAACTTCCTTAAGGAATAGTGCACTTTTCTTTGGGTCCAGTTTCAGACCGTGCTCATCGAGCTTCGTGAGTACAGCTTCAATAGCATTCACCAATTCCTCCTGCGTGTCCGCAAAAACCAGTAAATCATCGATCCATACAATCACACACTTGTTCACGAGGTCTCCAAGGACCATTTCCACAGTAGATTGAAAGTGCAAAGCAGCATCAATGCTGCCTTGAAACACACGGGTAGGCGTGAAGATTCCTTTGTCCGTCATGTATGAAAGGAACTCTTGGCTGCATTTGGACAGAGGCAGCTAGCTACCAAAGCCTTTCAAGAAGTCGAATATTGCGTAGAACATATTGCCCTTGCAGTGTTCAAGTGCAACCTCCAGACCGGGCATCACACCAGCGATCGCCTCAGTTACTGCGTTTAGTGGTCGGTAATCAGTAGTTTGCCGGAACTCATCAGTATTCGGCTTCCGGACGGGTAACGCTGGGCAACACCAGCAACTTTCGCGATTCTCATACACCCAGCCTAGTTCCACCAGCCGTTTGTTGAATTTCTCCAGGAAAGCTGACTGGCTTGGGCTGTATTGCCGGACTTTGCACCGGTACGGGGTGGCATTGGCCTTAATCCTGATCTTGAGTGGCGGTACCCTTGCAGGTGGATCATCGCCCAACTCAAGTCTCTAACCTCCATATTTCCGTACAATATCGTAGAGTCGACTGGTGATATAGTCATCAACGGTCCCGCGGTCAATTGCATCTTGTACGAGAGCATCGACAACATTCGTCACTACATCACTGACCGATGATTTGCATGGCGGTATGCCATCAGGTTCGTCGAAAGAGTCATCATCGTCCGCTCCGCGCGACGCAAGGTACTGCTCAATATCTATACCGAGATCAGACAGCAGTGTTTTCCCCACAAGCATCTCGTCCTCGTTCGACTCGACTATTAGGCAACGTTTCGGTTCCTGACAGCACACATGTCCAGCTGCAGTATTGAGTGTCAGCCGGATGTCGACTGCATGCGTTGAAGTTAGTAATGTACCTCCAACAGCACGAGATTCCATTGCTTCGTCGAGTTTCACAAGTTCCACCGTTGGATCCTGAGCTTGTAGCAATTGAACATGTTTCCGCCAAATGACGTTCCAATCACTTCCACTATCAGCACAATATGGCAACTCCACTTTGCCATTCAAAACAAAAGTCATCTGACCATCATTCGTGGTTGTGGATACTTGCTCGAGTCGCTTTGAGCGAAAACGTTTTCCAGTGTTCCCGCTTGACCCCCTTTTTGCCTTACGTTCCGCAAGCAAGGCCTCCTTGGCAGCTTCATCCAAGTCAGGACACTGGCTGAGCCAGTGGTCCATCCCACAATGAAAGCAGCCTGTTGTCGGCTTGCTCTTTGCGTTCCCAGTCGAGATTTGCTCCGATTTTGCGTTCACTACAGTGTTCTGTTGTTCCTTAGCATCGCTGCGAACCACCCTAGCAGCTTTGCCCTGCTTGCCACCAGAGTGATGGTCTTTGCTCAATCCCCGACTGTTTTTTCCTGATCCGTGTTGTTTTCTCTTCGAGAGAAAGCGGAAGACTTTCTCCTGTTGTAGTGCCTTATCTTTGACGAGCTGGTACAAAGTCTGCTCATCAATCTTGCTGGAACTGTCCACGAGTCAATGATGAGTGTCAATCGCATCACGCAGAGCTGCAGGTTCCAGGTACTGCTTCAGGAACTTACATTTTTTCTTGATTCCGTTGGAAGTCGAAAATGTACTATTCAGTTCATGCTGTAGGATGATGTCATCGCACAACATGAAATAGTTTATCACGCGGGCCTTCACGTCAGCCTCACGCAAGTTCATCTTCAACTCTTGGTCAAAAAGGGCATCAATATCAATGATATCGTCATTCATCACGTTACCGATAATATTGTCCAATTCGGACCGAATCCGCTCTTCCGAGACCTACTCGATGGTCGTACCCCACTCCAACTTGCACAAAGTCTTGAGAAGATTCCGGTTGAATGAGTTCTTGATACTCCGAAGCGCCTTTGACTTGTCCTCACCAGTCGCGGCACAGCGAGCTTCAATTGCGTCTTCATATTCTTGGCGTTCCCGTTTCTACTTCACTACAGCTGGATGGGAAACGTCCATGGTGTACGGTGGCATGATGGAAGAAGAAGTTACAGGAACCGTTGGAGGCGAGTTACGTGTAGTCATTGTTCCCGCTCGTCCTGTCTCTGATCGTCTTGCACTTGCATCCGCCGTCGTCGTTGAGTGTTTGTTTGCAGGCGTGACTCGAGTCGCTCGCCCGCTGCGTGTCTTCATCGTTCACGCGGTTACTAAAGTTAACTTTGTGACGTGTACAACAAAGATTGGGGGCTGGAACTCCCTGCAAATGCCTACTTGTATTGTCAGAAGCAAA